GGACCGGGGGAGGGGGGATTCTGCGGGTTCTCTGCTCTGCCCTCGCAACGCAGCCGGCTGCCGGGGGGCTCAGCGACCAGGCACAGGACCCGAAATATCAGTGGGAAATAGAGGATCCAATGACCGGAGGGAGAACAGCATCGTCCCCAATGTCAGCCTACAGTCAGCGATGGCTCACTTGGGCTCCGACCCTCCTGCATCGGTAAGGGATGGGGACACCGAAGCCTCGGTCCTCAGCTCCAGAAACGGAGCAGAGGTGTCTCCTATTAGGAAGTGAGAGCCAGGCAGCTCTGGAGCAGATGCTCAGCCCAGGAGAGAGGCACTTCACACCTTCCCAACGCTCTGCATACACAAGCGTACCCGTATCAAACGGCCAGAGCCCGCAGCCACGACGCACGAGACCACGGCCTCGTGCTGCAGCTGCAAGGGATTTTTTTTAGGCAGCGTTTCCAGGTGAGCTTACCTTGGCGTGCAGTTCCCATCCTACAAAAAAAGACCCTCCTGGTCCCAGGTTGAACCCTGAAGATGAGATCAGGCCTCACTAGCAAAGCACCCGGGCAATGCTGACAGCGGGAAGAACCTCGCTGCACTGTTTTACAGTCTGTTCCCAGCTGCTGCCAATCTCTGATGTATTGGAGAAAGGTTAAAAACCCCAAACTAGAATTTAAGTTAAACATTAAGGAGAAGAAAAAAAACAAACCACCTTAATTTCTCCGCGGTCCCTTCAAGCATAAAGGCAGGGCATGGCATCCCGTTTTCAGCTCAAAGCTCAGCTTCCCTGCCAGCTAGCTTCATCCTCCAGATCCCAAAGGATCCTTCTAATCCCAAAGGATCCCCAGTCTCCTGACTGGAAGCATCGAGGGGTAACCAAGCTGATCCTTGGTGCCCAGCCCTCCCCAAAACAGGGGTCAGGCCAGCACGAACCTTCACACTGCCAAGAGCCTCTGCTCCCCTGGGAGGGATCGGTGTCGAACCCACGCAGAGCCGCACGGACCTCAGCCAGGAGCCCCGCTCTGAAAATCACCCCCCGACACGGGGACGGGGTTTTTCCCTCCGTGCAGCAGCGGGGCTGACGCTGGGACCCCCGATAACGGCTCCTGCAAGCGGCTCGGAGGCCCGGGAAGGTGGGCAAGCTGCCAGCCGCCGACAGCGAGAGCTGAAGCACTATCCCACCCCAGGGAGCAACCAGCGCCTGGTTTCGACGGTCTCTCAGCAATTTTCCCTCTCTGATAACTTTTCAGACTTGAGATTTCAGGAAATATTGGGTCACATTTCATTTGCTCTAAAAAAACAAATGGAAACCTGAACGTCACGCAAGAGACGGTTCGTCTGTCTGTAGCCCAGTTATCCAAGGAGCTGACAGCGTTTAACCCTGTTCTCAGGTGCCCGGCACCCAAATAAGAGAGGGTAAAATGGAGGAGACTTGGGCTGTTTTGGGGAGCAGAGCACGGGGCGACGGCCTGAAAACATCCCCCGTCTTCCATCAGCCTCTGACATGCGCACACATGGGCAACAGAAGCGGAGGCAGACCTCCGAAGGTGCTCGGCCATCCCAGGGAGAGGACTGGAGCGAGGCAGGGCAGGATCCCGCCGTGAAACCACGGTGGGACAGGGACCTGATCCCACCCTGCCCGCGCCGGGCGTCCTCGGTCTGGGATGGGGAGGCTGACAAGAGGCTGCTCTGGAGCTTTCTCCTGCACGGGGCCGGGCCGGCTTGGACAGACCAAGGTGCTCAGCCCCTCTTACCATCTGCGAAATGGCGATGCTGCCCAGCAGGCGGGACCGACTCAAGCAGAGAGCAGCAAAGCCGTTATCTGCGCGATTCGAATGCCCTTTTTTTGGGCTAAGCATCTACAGAAGGACTTACAGCCCGGGGAGGTGCCACCCGAGGAACTGGCGCGCAGCATGGGCAGGTCTCTTGCCCGCCTCCACCTTGTTTCTACCCCCTCTGCGGTAACGACTCTGTCTCTACCAGAGCTGTTTCAAAACTGACTTATTTTCCTGTGAAGAATTCAAAGCAGAAAAAGTATTTCACATTCATGAAGAGTTTCCGGGCTTTTGGTTACCTCACTATTTGACGAACGTGAACTTTTTAAGAGTTTGTTTAATGAAACATATTTCACAGAAACAAATTCCGAGAGCTCTGCTGTGTGTTTCCTCTAGTCATTTTGGATCCGCAGCAGCTCAGCGACCTGAAGCGGCTAATTGGCAGGCCTTGACCCTGACCACTAGCTGATCTTCGTTAGGCCTGCCCTCACCCCCAGGCCAGGCAGGCAGGCTGGGCAGCACAGGCTTCACTCCCCAAGTACTGGGGAACTCAAAAAAGAAAGCCCACCCCGGCCGGGACGGCCCCGCAGAGCTCCTGTAACGCTGCTCTTCCCTTCTCCTGCCCTTTAACCGTCCCCCTTCCCTCCAAACTCCCAGGAGCTGCTTAAGCCTCAGACCCCCGGGACTTCCAGCGCTGAAAGCTCACGTGCACCCGAGGGGGATCCAGGCTGCACCGAGGGAGACGGGCTTTCTCTGTTGCCTCTTTTCGGACCTTCTTTCCGGGCTGCAGCACCTCCACGCTCGCGGGGAAACACGGACCTGCCGCAGGGGAGAGCTCACCCACAGGACTCCCCGAGGAAAAGCGCAGCCGCCGCTCTGC